TATTTGATTTTATTAATTTTGGCTGCATTTTTAATTGGTTAAAGATAGAAATTGTCGTATAAAAGAAAGAATGGAACGACAACTGGCCAACACATGGAAATTTTTTACTCAAAATTGATAAAATATTATTTAATATCTTCCATATTTACTCCTTGCACATGCTCCTATTTATTACATATCCACCTTCAAAATTAATACATGTCACACCACTAATACAATCCCTATTAATTAATATTATTTTTTTATGAGTCTATTAATTAATAATTTAGTGTATATATTCTTACACAACCATTACTTTCGCTATGAGAAGTAAAGTCATTGCGAAGGAAGACATAGACATCGATTATGGTGTGATGAATTTGTTGTCTTTATTTAATTAAACTTATTTTTCTCCTTCTAACGGCCATTTGATCCCACTACAAAAAAAGTTTGGATTATTTAGAGTTGAGTCCCATCACCATGAAGTTGCTTGCCTCTAATATATTAGAGATGACTTACAAAAATTACATTTAATTATATACATAGTATTTTTTTTTCCATGTTCTTCTCATTCGATTCAATTAATGTATGCGAAACAAATTCATCAATAGATGATATGTGTAAATAATTTTTTTATTTATATATTCTTTAACTTTCTATTTGAAATTTTTCTACTTATACTTCAACTCTAAATATTAATATATATATATATATATAAATTAAATTTATGTAATGTTTTAATAATTCTTTAATTATATATTTTTTTCTTTATAATAATTTAGAGAATCAAAATTATAATTTTAAGTCTGCATACTTATATATTGATCATCTAATGATTATATTATTAATAATTCATCTCTTTTATGATAGTAAAGATTGTTTTTTCACCAAAAATTAACTAGGAAATATCAATCAAACTATATGGATATTTTATCTTGATTGTCATTTTTTTTATTTGAAGACTAGAAGATTGTGTAATAATCATGTTTCTTAACAATTATTAATTTATTATTTTTATAAAAATAGGTTGTCATTTATTTATTTTTATCCGCGATGACTAGAAGATTGTGTAATAATCATGTCTCTTAACAACTATTAATTTAATATTATTTTTATAAAAATAGGTTGTCAGATAACTAAATAAAAAATATTTAACTCAATTTTACAAAATTAATTTAATAAGATATTAATTATACTTTTTATATATATAATAATATTATCGTTTTCATCACACTTTTTCACTTAAAAAAATATTTTCATATCTTAATATTATTATAATTGATTTTAATACTATATTAAAAATAATAAAATATCTAATTTAATCATATAAATTTGTCTTAATAAAATAGAAATTATATTTTTTAATATTATAATATTATTATATATCTAATTATATAAGTATTATAATAATAATATTTAAATTATCTTCGTTTAAAAAAAATAAGAATGTCTCGAGTGATATCATTATTAAAATTAAATTATTATAATAAATTATTCGTTTTAAAATTTTAGTCAAACATATTTTTTTAATATTTTTATGAGTTAAAAAAGAAAAGGAGATATATATAAATTTTTTGACCACCACTAAAGCATGGATATTTTTTGGATATATATTAAAGCTTACTTAAGTGTAAAAATGATTAAGAGGTAAGATTTGGAATGTGATGCGAATATAATAACAAGAGAAATACGCGTGCATACTGTGTCACTCTTCTCACCATTCCAACGTCGCAAACACCGTAATGCACAAGTTACCATTATTATTATTCTTCTTCTTATTATTATTAGTATTATTCTTTCTATTCTCATTTATACCTTTTTATTTTTATCATCCCACGCTGTTTCTACGCTATATATCACAAAATAATAAAAATACTTGACATTCAACTAACATCGATCCAAATCCAATTCATGGGTCATTTTCTTTATTTCATTGCGTCCACTCTACCTTCACCCTATCACATTTCAATCATTTTCATGACGAATTAAATATTTTAATTACACAATTTATCTTCTAATTATTAATTTTCCATCATTCATACTCGATGAGGTTTTGTTTTGGATACTAAATGGAATAATGAGATTTTGATTGCATTGTATACATGACATCATTAACAAGTCCAAATCCAAATCTCATGCATGCAATTCTATCTAGCTACCCTTTTCTTTCTTTTTCATTATTTATCTTAAATAAATAATATTTAAATCTCATTTAATCATTCATCTTTTACATTTGGGTCAATTTACTCATTATCAAATACTTTTTTTTATTGTAGGATTTTGAACTATTTTTTAATAAAGTATTGAAGAATCAATATCTTAATATAAAGAATAATTATTATCATAAACTATTAAATTGATATAAATTCAATAAACAAAAAACGAAAATATATAAAAAGAGAATTATTAAGTGAGAGGAAGATCTGGGTTCAACGGATGAGGGTGGTGTTTTGGAAAGTAAACAAAAAACGATGCATTCAAATGCTGGTTAAGTGTCTGCCACTATTGTTCCCCAGAAAATTTATGTGACTGCATCATCTTTCAAGTACAACACTGCTTAAATCTACCTCCTATATATATATATATATATATATATATATATATATATATATATATATATATATATATATATATATATATATATTAAAGTTTCTATCACCATGTGCTTTATCACAATAAAATGAATTCACCTGTTTAAATAAATATTTCAATACAAATTTTGTAAATAGAAAAGAAAAGTGATGAGAATGCAAAATTTCGCTAAAAAACTATTAATAACAATTACACAAGTTTCTAATATAAAGTTAACCATCTAAAAAATTGTGTATTTTCGAGTTTGAATTCCATTTTGTTATTTTATCTTTAAAAAGGTTGAATGGTATTAAAAAATAAGAACATTAATAATTTATATTAAAAATGATATAATATTAATTTAATTTATAAAATTGATTTAATAAAGTGAAAATTATATTCTTATATTATATATCTTATTATTTTATTTTTATGTAAGATTTTTTGTAGATTTTTCATCAATTTAGAATCCTAAAAAAATTAAGAGTGAAATGAAATTTTTTGTTTATAAACGTTAATATTCTAATTTAAATTTGTTTAGAGAAATATGAATATTATTTATTTTTTAAAATGTAGGTCGATATATATTTATAATTTTTATATTGTTAAGAGATTGAAATTAAGTATAAATATTTTTTAAAAATAAAATAAATTAAAGTTTTAAAATAAACTATATTTTAAATATAGTAATTGAAAATGTTTTGTTATGACATTATTATTATTAAATTAATTTTTTTATTTGAAATATTATTTATTTTAGAACTTTAATTCGTAATAATTTATGTTTAAAAAATATTTTGATAAATCAAGAAAAAATAATATATATAAATTATTAATAATTTTTATTTTTAAGTGATATAAAATTCACAAATAAATGGAGATATAATATTATCGTAAGAGAGAGAAGACGAGATTGTTTTTTATTTGTGATGATGGAAAAGGGTTGAAGAAGGCCCACCATGTGATTGAGAAGGGAAGCAGTAGGGTTTGAAGTGAATGGTTGGATCTTAATTGCATGAATACTTTATTTACAGACACTGTTTATGATGATGCGTTGGAGATGTTGGATCTGTTGAGAGCAGAGTGGAATTTCGGATTTTCAACAACAAACACAACCATGTGGCCAACTCTTTTGATTCCACTTCCTAACCCAATCCACCTTTCACTCTCTTCTTTCAAAACTCAAAACACATTGATTTTATTTTCATCAACATCATCTTAACATATAATCTCCATACTTGTGATGGAATGAATTCTCTAATGTAAAATAAACTGTTGGATCTGCAGATTTTTATTTAAAAAGTTGATAATTTTCATCTGAAAAGTTAAAGAAATGTAATGACTTTTTCTTGTTCATTTCATACAAACTTTGGTGACATGGCAAAAGTAGGGTTCTAGTATTGTGCCTTTTTTTATAGTTTCCAAGTGATGATGCTTTTGGGATCTTAAAAATGGTCTATGATCTATCATCCTAAGAAAGCCATTTCAATTTTCTCTACCACCATGATTTCCACGTGGAAGTATAAAGTATTAGAAATAGAAAAATATGTAAACTCATCATATAAAATCGGTAAAAAAAAAATCACATGGTAGTGTAACATCATCAATAGCAAATGAACACATTGAAAACATATAACAACATATATAATGAAAAATCGAAGATACTTGGCGAAGTTGCACTGGGATGTTTGTGAGAGGTTAAATATCATGCATGGTATCAACAAAATCTAACACAGTACAAATTCTTTAAATATGTGTATTTGACTTTTAGATGTGTATTACCTTTGACTTTAAATTATTAATGTATTTTAAAATATAAAATCAAATTTAACCATTTAGTAACTATTGAATGAGATTGAAAAAAAATAAAAATAAATTGTAAGATTAAATAAATAATTTAAAAAAAAAGCAAGAAAGGATAATTTGGTCATTCAACGACGAAGGAAGCACTATAAAGTGCAGTGGCCATGGTTCGAACAACTTTAGTCGCAGAAGACACTCACAAAGACACACACAGAGTGCGTTGACGACACAAACAAACACTATACAAAGGTTAGCCGGAAAATATTTCTCCGGCGAATCCGACGACGGTGTTTGCGGCGGTGATAGGACCCGAAACTGAGGCCGGAGAAGGACGAAGTTGGGTGGTGGTGGGTAGGATCTGGCGGTGTATGATGGGATCTTGCATATGCCCGTTGGAGACTCCGGCGAGATTGCTTTGGACCACAAGCTTCTTCCGTCATAAGCTTATGATCTTCTAATAATTGCCACACAAAAACAAAAACTCAATAACAACATCGACCCTTCTAAATTCTCAAACAATATTCTAGTAAAACAGAGCAAAGCGCAAAGAACAAACACTAACACACACATAAAACACTCACTTTTAAGCACTAATCCCTTTCTCTCGCCGGAAAGTTTCTCCGGCGGTGGTGAGTGACCAGAGTGCCATGGAGTCTGGACGGCTTTTCTTTGATGCCTGTGCTTCTCGCGGGAACACCAACATGCTCTTCCTCGGCAACACTGAACTCGCTTTTCGAGGTGATTTTTTTTCTCTCCTTGCTCTTGATTTGATCTTCTTACTTTTCTCTTTATACCCTTTTTTGAAAATTTGAACTTGAATGGTATGTTGTGGAGTAATTTTTGTTTGTTATGGCTTACTTTTCTGAAGTATTTTGGTGTTGTTCTTCCATCAAAATTTATGTTGACCTTTAATATGAATCATTACTACGCAGTTGGGGTGTGAATGCGACAGATAATGGATTAAGATTTCTATTTTTATTTCATGTGTGTGAATTATTATGTTGTGACCTGGTGTCTTGAGACATGAAAGAGAGTTAATTGATGGGGTTTTGGTTTTGGGATTGAAATGGAAGCAGGGAGATCGATGATGAGCTTGGAGGAAGCCTCGAAGAGGCGACCTTTCTTCACCTCACCAGATGAACTGTATGATGAGGAGTATTATGAGAAGCAGATGCCGGAGAAGAAGCATCGCCTCAGTTCTGAACAGGTTGGCCGGTGGCTTGAAATTTGAATGAACTGCTATTTCTTGTTGTTGTTTTGATCACAGATTTGAAATTAAAAGCAGTTGTTGTAATAAATAGCTTGAAATTTGAATGACTTGCTTTGAGTTTGGCTTCTAAATTTAATACAATATGTGAAAAAAAAGGTGGTTGGCTTTAAAGATAAATTCCATTTTGTAAAGTAATTGATTTTGAAACCATTTCTTACTATTAATAGTAAATGAAGACAACTTTCCTTGAGTTGAATACTTGGTGGTGTTATGTTATTAATTTACTGATGGATCTGATGAGAGGGATAATGTATATAGGGCTTTTACTTTCTTGGTTTCTGAGATTAATATATACTGTTGCATCCAAAGATGAGGCAAATTCCTGTGATAGCTTGCCATCAATATTTTAATGTTGTGACACACTTGTGTGATTGATGGTTAGGTCCATCTGTTGGAGAAGAGCTTTGAGGAAGAGAACAAACTGGAGCCTGATAGGAAGACCCAGCTGGCTAAGAAGCTGGGATTGCAACCAAGGCAAGTGGCTGTGTGGTTTCAGAACCGCAGGGCTCGATGGAAGACCAAACAGCTTGAAAGGGATTATGATGTTCTCAAGTCTTCATACGATACCCTACTTTCATCCTATGATTCAATTATGAAGGAGAATGAGAAACTCAAATCTGAGGTACATTTATGCATGTATAAAATATTGGAAAAGAAGTAAAATCACTGTATATAAGAAACAGGGGTGTTGAGATTTTTCCATTTAGATTTGGCGGCTCATAAATGCAATTTGAGAAGTGATGAATGATGCAATGGTTACTTACAGCTATGGTAGATGTGTGATGAAATATTGGGTGAATGGAGTAGAATAGAATATAAATTGTGTGTCAACAGTTGGTGGGGGGGGGGTATAGGATAGAATTAGTGCCTTCACAATCAGAACTCCATCATAGCATGGCATAGGGAAACAAGTCGACACTTCACATAGAAGATGATTGGTAGCTATCCAGAAAGGGCCCTACACATGAGATTCGACATTATAATAATCACAAACTACCAAGAGTAGCATCTGTTCTGAACCCCACCTCGTTTGCAAAGAAGCCACTTTCAAAGTAACTATGCGAATATACCTCTGTAGATTTCTCAAAATATGCTTTAAGACCCCTTTTGTGAAAGGGACTGATGAACTTTAAAAAAAAAAAGGAGTATGCAAGCTAGGCCATAAACTAATTAACAAGTGGACTTTTTTTAGTGTGGTGGATTGAATATCTTAATGACATGTTGACTATTCCGCAGGTGGTATCCTTAAATGAGAAGCTTCAAGTTCAAGCTAAAGAGGTGCCTGAGGAACCATTATATGACAAGAAAGTTGATCCACTTCCAGCAGAAGATATTGCTCCAATTTTCAGCACAAGGGTGGAGGACCACCAGAGTAGTGGATCTATTGGAAGTGCAGTGGTGGATGAGGGCAGTCCACAGCTGGTCGTTGACAGTGTTGATTCGTACTTTCCAGCTGACAACTACGGTGGCTGTGTGGGCCCAGTTGAAAGGGTTCAGTCAGAGGAGGAGGATGGGAGTGACGATGGGAGGAGTTACATGGATGTTTTTGTGGTATCTGAAACTGAGAATCAAAACCATGAGGAAGGAGAGGCATTGGGTTGGTGGACCAATATGTATTATGTTGGATAAATGATAACGCAGCAGAAGTGTATGTGAAATTAGATGCTTAATTAAAAGAAGTTAATAATATTGTATAATTAGATATATCGTGTGGGCAAGAAGGAAAAAGTAAACGCCCGGGTGGCTTGGACCCCTAGGAGTTGGAGTGTCCTTAAGCCAAGTTAAACCAAGTTTAATAAATAAAGTCTAGTAGTAATTTGGTCAATGGTGTCTTGTTCTTGTTAATGGTTGTACTTTCAAAACTGCAGTAAGTTTATTTCATGTTCAAGTATAAAAACATAGTTAATCCATAGATTCTGAGTTGTGCCTATTCCACAAGTTTCCAAAGCCATTTGGATAAGTTAATCCAGAACCACATCGTGGGTAGGGACCACAAAAGATACCAAAAACAGTCTACTTTTTCAATCCATTTCGAATACTAGTTTTCATCTAATATTATTTTCACACCCTGATCATGGTAACTAATTTATCTTTAATAATATTATAATTAACTTTGTAATTTGCCCAAAACATAGACAACGAAGTGTTCAGAAAGGTGGCGAGGTATGGATAAGATATTTTTTTTTTCTAAAATATTTTATATATATAAAAAAATACAATCTCATCCATCATTCTTTTGGATGAGACCAGAGACTTTGAATAAACTGAAAAATACTATATGGATCAACTTCAATTTGTCACTAGTCATTGTTGGAAGATACGAGGGGGAGGCTTCCAGCACTAAATTTGCAGAAAGTCAGAAATAGCACACGTTACTAAAATACACAGATTTCATGATTAACAAGAACTCAAGCAGATATATTCAAACACTCACAACATATATGGACCTAAAGATCATCATCAAGCAACCCTTACCCACTCCATCTACCTCCCCAACACCATCATAAGTTACCAAAGCATCTACAATAACCACTTCATGCAAGTGGTATCCAACTTCTTCCACTCCACAATTTTATTGTGATGTCTCCCTCTCATTCTGAAATGGACTTGCGGAAACGTAAATTGGACAGTGCCACAAGTAAATTGCGGGATGTAGATTTTAAAATCCATGCAAATGACACGAATATCTAACAAGACATGCCTCATGGCAGTGCTATAACAACGATAAAATCCCTCCCCCCTACTGTAACTTAACACTCATTGTGATCCTAAAACAGGCAAGGAGGGGGGTCAGATATTAGTATAAATTAACCCGTTCCCACACATGACTAGAAAATTATGAGAATTATGCAAATAAAAAAAATCAAACAGATCACGCACTACGCAAGCACAAAGCAGATGGAAAAAGCTTTGATTCCAATAATTCCCCAGATTTCGAACACATCTGCAGATGCCCAGGAACAAAATCAAGGGCATGCGTGTGCAGGACCTTTGGTGGGGAGGGGTGAGAGAAAAAGTATAAAGAATGAAATATTGCCTACAACTGCTCAACTTAACATTTTCTGACTTCTTTCCCATCCTTTTCTTTTTTACTACTTTTCTCCTATTCCTTTACAATAATTCCATTTGTATACATATATGGATCAGACTCTGCTAGAAAAATGAAAAATGGTACTTCTCGCTATGGAGCAGCCAACTGAACATCTGCAGCAGAAATCATTTCAAAATTGGACGCATCCTCACAATTCCCTCAAACTGGTGCCCTCACTGAAAGCAGATAATCCTACAAATTCTGCTTAGCCAAAAACCAGGCATCCGAGTTAGCAGGTCAGTTTTACCTATATGTACAAGCACGCAAGAGACACCAGCAGCTGTGGCTGCCCCATTTAATAGCCTTATGTTGGCCCAATGAACCAATCATACCAGTGGATGATCACATCACAACACAGAAGACTGATCAGATATCTGATTTTCTGAAATACAAGTATGAGATCAACCATCTGATTCCTTTCTTTTCCTGTTTGACTTCCGGCTTCCTTTGGATTTCTCTGCATCCACATTCATCAGTGGTCTCGGTTCTGCTGAGGCAGAAGGTTCAGAGCTGTCAGTAACACTTGAATTGGGCGTTTTCTCATATATAATGGCTAAATCAAGGGAGTATATGCGAAGGGCAAGGGAAGGCAAAGTAGAAGATTTGACAGCAGCTGAGAATGATGACCAATACCACCAGTCATTCCTCAAGTACTCCGTCTTAATCATATCTTCCAGGGTAAATGTTGCCTGAATCATCTGAAAAATGGAAGGAAAGTTAACATACACAAATTCACATTCATTATTCATTACTAATCTTCTTGAACTAGAAACATAATATAAAACTTGTTCAAGAAATCCATTTACAACATAAAACAGTTGTTTTCCACTGCTATCGAAGTGAAAAGTGGCATTAATAAGTCAACAAAATGTTTTCTAAAGGATCATGAACAAAGAATCTTTGGTAAGTTGCAGTGCAGAAACTAAAGGAATGAAAAAACTTGTGAAGTTGGCAATGCCTGTTAAAGGATAACTGTATGTGCTAGAGCCACAGAAATCTGACAAACCTCATATATAGTCTCTGCAGATTTAACAAATGCACGCCAAGCCTGTCTTCTGTTGATCTCAGCCTTTGATGGTCTTAGAGCATATGCCGGGAGTGCAGCATCCATATCAAGAAGATTAATCTTTAGTTGCCTCAAAATGTGAGAAACCTTTCCAACTAATGGTTTCAATGACGACAAAGGAACCACGCAACAGCTATCAACTCCAATATCTGAAGCAGAACCTGAAAAGGAGAATTTCCCATCTCTTTGTTCTCCCGAGGATGATTTGTTGGATTTATTGCTTTCATTTGCAGCTAACCTTCCAGTAGAAATGCTTGAATTATGGTCAAGACATGTGCCGGCTCCATCAGTGTTTCCCTGAGAACTCCGGCTTTCTGTTGGTTTGGACACACCACCAATAATGTTATCATCCTTTGGAGCAGAGAATAGCATGTACTCGCTAACAAAAGGAGATACAGAAGGGACAAAAGATGGGATACCATTTGAACCAATAAGGCCTATTTCTTTGACAAGGTCTTTGTTGAAATCATTTGTCACAAACTTGGAACATATATCTTCAAAATTAAATGGGCACGTAGATTCTTCATTTGAAAATTTAATCAATCTTGAGCTAAGCTTAGAACACCCACCAACTGCGGTTGTTTCTGCATCAGCTCTGAATTTCTCCTGTGAGGTATCACTTTTTGAGTTCCCTTTTTCTTTAGAAGAACCAATTTTGTCCCTATTCTTCTCTGCAACCGGAGGAACTGCATTACACTTGCCATCATTGTGTCCATCAAATTCAACATCACTAACAGTTTTGTGACAATATGTGCAGTGTTTCCTATAAGGCCATATGGGTTCTAGGCACTCGCACCTTAACAACTTTTCATCGTTAATTGTTAATGCCTCTTTATTTTGCTTCGACATCTCAAGACCCCACTCAAAGAAGGGACCATATTTCTTTTCCAGCAAGAAAGTCGCCTTTGTAACAAGAGAATTAGATTCTGTTTTCTCTCTATTTCTTGGCAAAGAAATAGGTCCTTGGTCCTGGGCCTTCTCTTCACTCTGTGCATTAAGGAACTCTTGGAATCTTGATCTTGGCCCCTGCATGATGGAATCTTTCAGTTCCCTTTCTTTAGGGTCATTATCGTCCAACCAACCTAAGAGCTCTTCAATTTCAGTATCGGTTTCATACGCAATCCATGGTGAACTATTGCTCAAATCATTTCTAAGCTGAGACATGAAAGGAGAGGAATCCTTGTCAGATAGTGCACAATGCTGCAGAACAGAAAACTTCTCCACATAGTCTCTGCTAAACGACATTCCTCTTCCATGCAGCAGCGTAGCACTTGCATCAACAACTATACGTGAATGTCCTCCAGGCAAAGTCGAAGCCCAGTACAATCGACCTATGGAATCAATGCCCAAAAATTCTCGGCGTACTGAGAGCCTCAGCAGCTGTGATACTACACTAGTAATGGAGTCCTGCAATATTGAAATATCACGTTTGATGGCATTGAGCTCAAGGTGATAGGGTTCTGACTCATTCAAAGTAATCTGTGAAACATCACCGGGCACCCCACCTTGCCGGCATGTCACAGGAGTAGATATATCCCTTCCCTCACATTTCTGGTGGTTGCCCTGGGCATGAACTGCTCCACCAGAACCATTTATTTCTTGAGACATATTTGGTGATGGAAAAGATTTGGGGGATTTATCAGTACATTGGGATTCCGCAGCACCAGAGACATTTCTAAATTGTCCCTCCACATCTAAGGAATTCATATTTTGGCTATCAGAATCTGAGTTTGTCACAGATATGCTTTTATCAACACTATCAAACTTATACTTCTCTTTAGTGGTGTCTTCTGAAGGCAGACTATCAACAAATACCCCAAAATTACTCGGATTGTCAACTGCAGTATGTGGCTGGACCAAACATTTACCAGTATTTGATAATGAAGTAGTAATCCCTTCCTTAAGACCAACTTCTCCAGCAGTATTTAATGAGGAAGTATCAATTTTTGCTGCTTTTGTGGATAAAATATCCTCTCTTGTTTTCAGGTTTTTCCACTCTACAGAGTGTGCCCGCAATTTCTGGTGTAACTCAGCTGACACCTCTGCACATTGCTCAAGGTGCTGGCGTATCAGGGAAGAGTTAAGCAACTCATCACATAAAAATTTGAGAAGGAAAGTTCTCTGCAACAATTTAAAATAAAAAATAATCAAATACAAACACAGAAAAGAGTTCTATAGTTTCAGAAATATGTTATCAATCATAACTCAAGTTGCCAACCACAGGGCATTTTACGTTTCAAGCATTATGACAAAGCGCTCAAAACCGAAAAAAAGAAAAAGGAGCCTTTGCAGCAGTAAAAGCAATATTTTGATGGGAAACCTTTTATACAAATAAAAGAAAATAAGCTATATGCCAAAAGCAATCAAGAAACCAATGAAAATCTTGCAATTATAAAAGTCGGGATAAAATATTGTCAATACAAGATAGCAACCCATTAAGATTCATTCAGTTGATAACAAATGGGAAGCACATACCAGAACTATCCAATTACTAACTAAATTCTTTCCCGAAATATACAAAAAATGTCAAGTTAAAATTACGACAATAGTGTCACTCCATCTAGAATGTTTATCTGAATGAGCTACATTGTAGACAAAAGATAACAAGTAGATGTGCATTAACAAACCTCGCCCACGCTATGCTCCCAGTATTCTTTCTCTTCAATTACAGTTGATAAATGAGTTAGGGATTCCAAGTAAAGAGAATTAACTTCACCCTGGAATTTTTTACTTCTGCGTTTGCCAATAACCTGTGTACGTTCTGTAACATCTTGAGTTGCATGTTTACCATCAACACAGGACGGACAGTACCAGTTTCCCTCAGGGATCCTTGCAAGTGGAGGATTCAAGCAATATGTATGATACTCAGCATCACAAGTATCACATAGTAAAACACTATCATCATCCCTATCAATGCCACATACTTTACAGACTCCCTCATCCCAAGGGGCCTTTGGAATCTCTTTTGTTGACTCAATAAAATCATCAACTTCCTTTCTCATTTCTGCAGTTAAGCATTCCACTTTAGCATACTCCATAAATTTTTTAATGTTCGTGACAACCTGTACCCAAGAAGCAATTTAAATGTCAAATTAACAGGAACGCATATGGGTACATGTACTGATGTAGACACAACAAGCTACCAACCTCCTCATTGTATAGTGATTCAAAGTTTTGGGATAATTTGTCAGCCAGTTCAACTAAATCAGGTTGATCCCCAAAAGCAACACGAACATTGTTCCACAGCTGCAACATCAAATCAACAGTTTAGTGCCCACCACACAAGTCATAAATAAACATTGTAAGAATGACTTGGCATCTACCAGAAATCGTATTAGAGACCAGTATATGAAGGAGAACATGAGGAAACCAATCATGATGCCCCTTGAGCCAGAGATTAAAATCACAAGCAAGCATAAAAAGGCATTTATAATAATCTTTACAGAGAAACAATATGGGTCTAAAAGGCAGTAGTAATCTAAAGAAAAAATAAAATAAAAGACTGCTTCGTCGAGCAATCAAAGTTTGACAAGACACTAACCTCACGAACATCCTCAAGAAAAGCTTCATGAGATCCACCATAAGCTCCAGAAGCCAATCTTAGGTCAATAGTGCGGAAGTCAAGTGGGCGAGCCACCATGGCTGGAGATCCAAGAAGCCCCTCATCATCATTATCTGAAGAATTTATTAATTTTCTTCCCAGTAAATTGCAAAAAACCTTTGAATCATCTGCAGCAGCAGCACGGCGTAATACAATCCGACATTGTTTCATGATAATGTCAGAAATTGATATAACAATCTTCTTTTTCTGTCCTTTAGTTGGATTTGAGTACAATCCTTCACCCGCAACATCAGCCAACACTGAAAGAACTGCTTTCTGTTTTTAAACAAGAATAATGTTCAATTAAAGGACTCATGTTTTCTTAACCAAAAATGAATAATAGTTTATTAACCAGATGAACTACCACATAGTAACATTGAGAACATGTTAGTTTTGCCATTATACATTGAGGGTGATAAACTGTGTGGTGTGTCTTGCATGTTGTAATAGGTCACATTAATGGGGTAATCTGAGATATACAGTTTTACATCAACAATAATAAAACAGATGAAAATGCACCAGATAACTAGAAACATCAACTGTAATAAATCAAGCAAAAATCTATCGTGAAACCATCATGCCAGCACAAGTTGTAGTAGATGACAGTTCATGGACCATTGAATTCTATGAAAAAGTTATGGTCAGATATCTGATCTAATGGTCAAGAAACTATCGGACTAACAGTTTTATCATTGTAACCAAAATAGTGTTTTTACCATAGTTTTGGTCATGTCAATGTTCTATCACATTCACCCCCAAAATACACACACACACACACTAAAATAGAGGTGCCACTGAGAAGCACCTTTGTAGGTCCAGAAGCATTGCCCTTGTACACTTCCTTACTGATTGAATGCTCCAGTTTTTTCCTTGCCCATTCTGGTGGATCCTTACCCAGAGCATCATAAACACACTTTCTGATTCGGGTGCCTACATTTGTTGGTAGCTTTCTCACAGGTTCTAGCATTTGCGCCCATTCAGGAACATTACCATCATTTGCCAAGTTTTTCTCAGAAGCACCCTTTGCATCAGACTCTTCTTCTTCCATGGTTAGTACATCATTTTCTCTGCTCAAAGAACCAAAAATTTTCTTTGTCGCCTCTGCCAGCAGCTGAGAGCCAGATAAAAAACTTTTCAGTGTTATTTCTATATCATTCTTTTCAGTTGACAATTTAAATTGTAGTCTACAAAAGTTTAACCAGCAGCAAAATATAAAATCTTAAGACATGATATGACATGAAAATAATTTTAAAAGAAAAATGAATTGCCATTAGCTAGATAAAACAAGTTCTCCAGCCATGTCATGAAAAGGCTGAGTAAAGGAATAAATCAAAGGTGGTCATTAGGCCCCACCCCAAAGTATCTACTTCTGCAGGGTAAAAAAGACTCTTGCCTGGGGTGAAAATACCACCAATCAGTTAGACTTTTAGAAACAATTAAACCTAAAGTGTCTGTCTTACAATCTAATATCTTGTTTTGAAGCCATGACATACTGTATCTTAGAATTTAGCTCGAATGCCAAAAATTATTTATTTCAAGGTCCCACATACTAACACTGTGAATCAAATGGGTATGAAGTATCTAACTATATTAGCCGGGATGAAGATAAAACTCATTATTCATTGTATTAAGGAAAAAGCAACACTCACCAGTGCATCTGCTTCCATCCCAGCAACACCAGTAAGAGAACCACACAGCAAACCACCATCACCTCGTAAGCATCGAAATACTTTACCACTTTCACGGGCAGTAATTTCAGCAGACTCAAGGTTGCCATCCATTGATAAAAAAGCCAAGATATATCTACGAGCTAACTCTGGCCAGGTCAATTCATTAATAGGAAGCATATTGAGCTTTGTTCGTTTAGCAGGAGCAGCACTATCCATATCTTTCCTTCTCCCCCGTCTTGTTCGTGTTTCTCCAGGTTCCGAATTTGGATCCACCAGGACAGCCACCCTTGATAGCAATTCACCTATTAGCACTCTTAGCAATGAATTATGAGCCTTGGTCAAAGTTACACCAAAGCATCTGGCATAAGTGAAAGATGCAAGCTCCACTTCAGCGGCGTCTTTCATTGCTTCTGTTTCCACTTGAATAAATGCATGAGAACTTTCTTTGGAACTTGATGGACCAGTTTCAAGTCTTGGAGACAATAATGGTCTACAATTACCATCAGTTCCCTGAGAAACTAAAACTTGACTTTCATCAATGCTCCTCTCAGATTTCTCAAGAAAATCCAATCCATCAAACCAAGGGTTAATTAGTTCCTTCTCAAGCTCATCTAATGACAATGGTTCTTTCAGGTCCAGAACTTCATTAAATCGCTCTAAAAGTTCCCAAGCCTAGAAGGCAAAAGCAGAAAAATGTAAAGACTGTATCATAGCAAATTAAAAAAAAAAAAAAAAAACAAATGTAAAAGGTTAACAAAAAATATTTCAGATTCACTATTGCCAGGAAACAAAAATACCTGAAAAATGTCACCAATCAAATCGCCTGGAGCCCTAGAGCATAATGGCTTCCCAAGTGGTGGATGACGACCTTCCTTAAAGCTTTTTTCAGTCAAACTAGCCTTCTTGGACCTCCTGTATAAACCTTGAACTGTTTCCTGATATTTTGATCCATTTCTCCATTCAACCACTAAGAAACCATTTCCTACTGTTGGCAATGACGAGCTGTTATCTCTATTACTTAAAAGCTCATACTGCAAAGTGTCAACACCAGGAAGCTGTTGCAATACTTCTTGAACAAAATCGACATCTAATCCAAACCTGTCCTGCTCCAACCATTTTCTCAATGCCTCGGAGATACCTTCCAGGTCACTGTCTGCATAAATTACATCTGGGATGCCAACTGAACCAAGGGAACCACAAAATTTATCCAACGAAGTAAAGTATGTATCACCTTTTGCATTCCTTAAATCCCATTGATGTAAGCATGTTTCGTTCTCAACATGATTACAATAGAACTTGATAGTTCCTTTCTGTTTGCAGATATCCTTGCAAGCATTAACTAACTTCTGAGAAATAACTCTCCATGCAGAGCATGATGACCGCTCTTCCACCAAAATTTCACCAATTCCATCATTAAACTTTAATTTATCAGCTAATGAATTTCTAGTATTATCTTGAACTGAACCAATATCAGTGCTTAATACATCTGATGTATGAGTATCCTTAATTGAGAAGCTTGCAAAGCAACTTTGGACATCATTTTCCATTGGCACACAAGGGTCTTCAAGCATCATCTGGATACTTTCACCATCATCAAAATCCATACTACCATTAGTTTTTCTCTCACCTTCATTGGCCTGACTCTTAAATTGACAAAATTTTGACATTGAGAGGATGGTAGACCCAACTGGAACAGGAACTTCTGAACAGGAACCCCTTTTGATCCTAAATATAGGTCCAGAATCACCACCCTCCAAAACTTCACATGTAAAAAGAGAGCCAGTAATCTTGTCATGCCAACAAGACTTATAACCTACAGGACTGATAAGATTAACATCATAATATGATGGTCTGACATCAACTTGCCCCAAAGATAGAACAAAGAAGTCCTTGAACTGTAGAGGAAGTTCATCCTGAAATATAAAAACCAGAAAAATCAAGCAAAAAATAGAGAATTTCAGATTCACTATACTAATTCCCTAAATTCCATATTAGAATTGGGAAAAATTAATAGTAAGAAACCAACTTAACAAAAAACGAGGAAATATGAATTAGATTCACTAACCTCATATTGCTGAGGGCAGGAGTGGCCATCCTCTCTTCTTCCAATTTCAGAGGGTTTTGGGATATTCCCTCTAGCACCAGCACATTCTGCATTTAAACCATCAGAAGAAGGATCCTTACAATTACTACTCACCATGGTTCCCCGTTTTTCAGTAAAACCATTGACTACGGGAGATCTTGTTGACTTTTTTTTTCTGGATACAGACCCACTTAATGAAGGGAGAGACCTCTCATTTCTTAGCTCAGATTCAACAGAATTGTAGCCAGATGTTAGCCCCAAATAACAAGCTACTTCATACACAGAATCAAATGTCTTTCCATCTGGTGCACAGTAAACTGCATATAGTTCAGAGCTGCTCACTGATTGTCTAAATTCCACTCGCCAACCTTCCTCTAGACAACCACGTCGCTGAGATATAAAATCTCTAAGAGCCTGCAAAAATATCCCATTTGAACTATGAGATGGTATTATAATAGCTGTATTATTGCTACTACTCTGAATTCTAAGAGGGAAATCTGTACGTACCTCCTCAAAGTTTCTACTATGATTCAATATATCCTCAAAACCTGCTCTATCAGCATGTGTCAAACCTCCAGAAGCCTTTTGGAAGCCAGTAGCATTTCCATTATAGAAGTTTGAATACGTCACCGGGGCACCAAATGGATTGGCACCAAAAGAATTATCACCCAGAGTGTGCTTTCTAAGACCAAAATAAGTATAAACAATAACTACTTAAAACAACTGGGATAAGGAAGCATACATTATTGCATCAATAAACCAAAAGACATAAACAGAACTACTACAAAGATTACAGCAATACACACTCAAATTCATCAGACAAGCTACCAAAAACATATATAAGTAATTTAGTTATTAAATAAGCATCAGCATATGAGAACCCCCAATTAATAGGAAACCAGCTTTAAAATAGGAGGAAAAATAGTCCTTTAAAGTCTGAAGGAACATGAATAACCTTCTGTGAAATGGTAAGGAAAAAGGGTTTCAAACCCTATTATTTTCTGAAGCAAAAAATTGCATTAGAAAGCATGTGAAAAATCACAATTTCACCCAAAAAAATGAAGTACTTCTGTTTCGTGGGTAGAATTTTATGAACCCTATATCATCATGGTGTGACTATTGTGGTCACAAAAAATCACTTTGCTATTTGAATCCCAAGGCCACATCACCTGTCATACCACACAATTGACTACTGTGTTTTGCCATGGTCATTCTGGTAATTCAAAAAACTATTAGCGTTTTGGAAAACTATATGCAAACAGGTAATAAAACTTTCCATGTGAAAGCAAAACTTCTACATGCCTGCATGGCATCTAGAATTGGAACCGGAAATCGACCGATTAATTCTAATTTTTAAGTTTGGAAACCCTAATTAAAATGATACCACATTTGAAAATTCATGGATTACAAAATAACTAGCTGAAACCCTTTCTAATTCTTAACCGACACCCAAAAACTTGCCAATATCACATAAATAATAAAAAGAAAGGAATATTAGAAGAGAGAAAAAGATACAGCAAGAAAGGAGAGCATAAGGTTACTCATCCAAACCAAACAGTGAAAGAAAGAGAAAACAAAACAACAACATACTATAAAAATAAAACAGAACATAGACCCCTCTTTGACATGAACAGAACAGATTCCAAAGGATGTGAACAGAGTAGAGACCACAGAACAGCATGCCAGAGTTCCACCATAGTTGGCCGAAAACTCCACCAGAGTACAACGAGCCAGCCAGAAACACAGCAGAGTTCTAGGTCAGATGATTTGCATCGACGAGAGGAGACAAACGAGAGTAGTGAATTATTTAGCCTTCGAAAGGAGAGAGTAAAAAAAATAGGGCAAGTATTCTTATTAAATAGAATGGGGAATATTATCGCCCCTCTTATTCAGCACCAAACGGCATCGTTCAAGGGGCCAAAAAAGGGGTTTTCATACATGGAAGAATACATCTGAGCTGGCAGCTACAATTCAAACCACAATAACTGTGACACCGCATTTCACTCCTCTAGGTATCACAGGAACAGCATGGCGCTGTGCTGTGATGCAACAACACTACAACAGCCTAATCACACACTAATCAAAACTGCAGAATTTATTACTCTAAACCAATTAAAGCTCAAACAAAATAGGAATTAAAATTATGAGTAAGATTGGAATCTTACTATCTAAATGGTGAAATTTTTTAACAACATTGGTATTTCCTTTCTTAAGGGGAGAAGTCTTGGAAATTTGTTTGATAGTGTTTTAACATAAAGGTTCTCAAATTGAGATCAAATCATTTCTGGGAACGGAAAGTTGAAATTGTAGCGGAAAACTATGCAGTTATTACAGACATTATATATAATATAGTTCAACTGGAACAGGCAACTATGAGTTATTATAGACATTATATATAGTTCAACTGGAACAGGCCCCAAACGCAATGCCGCGCGTGATAACAATGATGGCAATTCCTCCTATCCTATTCTCCCCATGCAGCTCGCGCTTGCTTCTTGTTGATACTATACATATCGGTCATTGCTACTTATCACAAAAAGTAAAACAGTTAACTAAGATTGACTGTAAAGCGAATCCATTTGCATACATTACATCAAAGAAAAAAATGATTTTTTATCTAACTAATCACAGCATCACATACTCTACCATTCATCATATGTTCCCAACGAACTAACCATCTCAGTTTTCCCAAATCTTACTACAATCTTGTCACAGAAGTCACCATTTTCCATAAAGAAATCAACAACTATATTACTAACCTAAAAAACTCTCCAAATTTTCAAACCTAATAACACAATCAGTATCAAAACAGAGACAAACATGTTCTCAGCATAACAACCAGACTCTAAACCACCTACATTGATCTCACTACAGTCTCATTCATTCAAACCAACAAGCTATGTCACTCATCACCGATAACCTCACTGAAAAACCTCTCAAAAGGGTTTAACTTCACACTACACAGCAGTGCACACACATTTCTTAGTTCATAATATTGGCAATAAAGCGTCACAAAATTTGTCACAAACCTCAAATCCTGCACATCTGCATCTCCATCGCCATCCGCTTCACTTGGTGGCGGAGCATTGATATCAAGAAGCTGCTTCACTCCCAACGGCCACCGTTTGCTCTTAACTCCAGCAGCCACGCACTCGGCGCAGACCCATTCCTCAAGGCTAGCAGCCTGACGTCCTCCTCCCCGAATTCCGGCACAGGCAAGGTGGAATCCACGCTCGCAGCCGTCACACACAACAAGGTGGTGGTGGCTACCGGCGGCTGCAGGGGAGGGCTTGGAGCAGGCAGCGCAGGGAGCAAGGCCGCCCCTGGGGAGGGCAGCAGGGGCTCCTGGCGGCGGCCCGGGGTTCTCGTGATATGTACGGACAACGTCAACTGTGACCGAGTCCGGTAGGGTTTCGGGAAACAAAGAGGAAGGCGAAGGGACCTCGTTGAGGTCGATTCCAAGGCCGGAGCGGGCGTCCTGGTGGTGGTAGTTGTGCTGCAGTGAGGGCGGCCCGTTGAGGTTACGGTCGCCGCCGGTGGAATCGGGAAGCTCCATGATCATCGGAGAGTCGACACTGAGTCACACGACAGCGAGTTAGGGCTTTGAGTTTGAACCATTGTATGTGATTTGGAAGGAAATCGTTGTTGCGAAGGGATCAAAAAGAAAAGAAGTGAGATTGAAGGCGAATGAAGAGAGAGAGAGAAAGAAAGAAGAGAGAGAAACGTGAGAAAAAGAAAAGGGAAAGACAGGGATGGGACCGTATCTGTATCGTAAACTCGTAAATCTCTTTCAGTTTCTATTCTCCCTTTTTTTTTTTCTGTGTTCAACTGTGAAACCTTAACTTGGTGCTTGTTTATTTCAAAATATAGCTAAGAAAAAGAAAGAACAATATTTTGTATGAAACAATTTTAGGGTTTATACCTAGAAGAGTGAGTGTTATTTTGATGAAGATATAAGTGTGATCATGTACTATAAACTAACTTAAACTTTCCTACTACTTAATCATGTCATCTAACAATAAATAAATTCTTCCAATATTAAAATTACAAAAATTATCATCTATTATAAATTATAAATACATGTATTAGAAATTCAAAATATACATCATTTTTACGATAAGAAATGAAAATGATAAATATCAATTTTTTTTTATAAACTACAACAGATATGTGCATGTTAGATTTGAAAAAATATATATAATCAAATTCTTACTTATCACATCAATTATACTAAAATCATTTATGTAATAACCAACGTTTTTTCTTATTGCAAGACAAAATATTTGAAATTTAGTTCTAAATTATAAAATTAGATATAATGTGATATAAAAGCTATAACTATTAGATTTTCACTGAGTTATATAATGACAAAAAAAGTGATCAAGTAATAATATATTATCCAATTATTTATAAAAAATTATAAACACTTGTTGTAAGAAAAAAAACAAATTTTTAAAAGTTAAAAATAATAATTCATCTATAAAATAATTTATAAAAAATTCATTAACTTATTAAAATAAATTATTTTTAAATAATATAGAAGAAAATTATAGTTTGTAGAAAAATATATATTTTTCAATAAAATACTCGTTTTATTCAAATTGAACGGAAAATAAATGTTTTAAAAAAAATTTATAAAGTGAAAAAAGAAATTATTGCGTTGATGAGATGAGTTTGTTGTACTTTCTTTTAAAAGCAAGTAACCGCTGATGTGTGTGGGGCAACACGTGTAACTTGTGTGTCCTTATTTTTCATATTTATTTATATATTTTTTATTTTATCGGTTTTAATAAGAATAATAATTAAATTGTGATCAAATAAAAAATGAAATAAATATTTTTAAAATAAATATTTAATTATTTTTATTGTAACTTTATGACAGTTATATTAAACAATTTGTAGAAAATAATTATTAGTCGCGGTTCTATTAGTTGTTCTATTTTTATGTTTTTTGACTGCAACTGTAAATATAAAATTTAAATTCTGAAAATATTAATTTTTATTTTTAAAATTTATTTAAAAAAAATTAAACGAACAAGAGAGTTATAAGTCTATGGTTCTTATGATTGATTGTTTTATTTTACTTTTCATTTTAATTTTACTGTGATAATAATATTGGAAGTTTTATGTTTTTTTTTAATTAGGTGAGAAATTCTACTTTAAAATAATATTATATTATAATTTGGATCTTTAATATTTTATCTCTTAAAAAATCAAATTATCATTCATCTTTTTTTTCTAATTTATATATTTTCTTCATATATATATATATATATATATATATATATATATATATATATAATTGAGGAATTACATTTTTTAACAAATGTTATGTTTTATTCCCAACATGTTTCAAATTATAATTTATTAGATAAATTTACAATAAATATATATAGAAGAATTTAAAATTAATACATTTTAAAAAATGAAAATGAAAGTTTTTTATAAACAAAAGCTAAGAGTGTAATTATATTTTAGAAAAAAAAACATATTTAAATAATACAAATTTTACCATTAATTTAGGGGTTTAAATAGCAATTTAAGGGATGCTCATAAATTGGGCTTTGTTGGACATTTATTTTGACCTTCTAGGTGTACAACCACATGCTTCATTTTATTTATCATTTTAAAATTTATTTGATATTGAACAAAAATTATAGTTAACCAACTATATTATAATTACTTATATAAATAATAAATAATTTTTATAAAAATCAAAATATTTATATATTTTAATAATATTTTCAAGTTGTTAAACTTTATTAAGTAACATTTACTATCTCATATATATATATATATATATATATATATATATATATATATATATATATTAATATTTAGTTATATTTCATTATTACAAGAGAACTAGAATATATAATTGACCTGTAAAAATTTATTAGAAAATAGATGAGCTTGCTTATAAAAAATTAATATTAATAAATTTAAAAAAAATAAAAAAATTATTATGAGGAAAAAAACTTACTACAATGATAAAAAAAAATACATGCTAATAAAACATGAAAAAAATAGGTTAACTTAATATGATTTTGTGTTGGGCCACTCGAGAACTCTTTTAATTAATTACATATGTTAAACTTTTATAGAATATAAAATGAATTAATTTAACCATGAACCTTTTTTCATGCAAATAAAAAACTAATCAATAGTTTATGACAAAACTTTATTTTGATTTGATAGATAAAATATTATTTAAAACATAAGTAAATATTTATTATACTAGATAACATATAAATGAATGTGGAAATGATGTGAAAATCAATATATACACTATAAAAGATTAAAAAAATATATTTAGTAGTTGAATTAATTAATGGTTTATATATATTTTTTGATGAACTAATGCTTTTTAAGTATTATCTCATTTCTCATTATGATACGAAAAGAGGGTACATAATGCCAAAACAAAAGACATAGAAAGAAAAAGGGAAAGTAAAGAAAAAAAAAAACGGGAAAGAAGATAAAGAGGGAAAGGCTCAAAGGGCAAGTTAACCGTGATTTTTTGCGTCCACTTGTAAAAACTGGTTACTTTTCCACCCACTCCATCAACATTCCACACTCACCTAATACACAAAAGACAAATAAAAAGGGGAAAAAAACAAAAAAGCCATGCTGATTGATGATGTACAACTATGTCCCTAACTTCATATAAATGAAATTCCCTAGTTCATCAACACAAAGAAACTTGTTTTTCTATGACAAAAACATCTCACATCTTCTTGTGCTACAATTATGCTTTTTCATGGCATATTTTTTGGTACTTGCATTAAATTTCTCATTTATCAGCATTTGCTTCACACATGCATAGACAGGAAATGGATTCATTAGAATATTGGCAATATTATTCAGCATATAAAATATAACATCATGAATCCATCATGCTTAGTTGAGATTTTACTACCGAAGGCAAGGATCAATTGACATGGAATTATTCCAACTTAATCAGTGTTTTTGAATTTGAGTCTTCAATATGCAAGTTTTATAGTTCATTCTGATCCTACCTAGTTCCAGCAAGATTGGTTTCTGTGGAGAATACTTGTAGTCTCAGACCAAAATATTGTGAGATTTTCATTGAAGCATTAGTGTGTATAATGACAGTTATTGTTACAGTGGTGCTGATATTTGTGGGATTTGCGGTCCTGATCATACTTCATGTTTGTATTTCGGAGAGACTCTCTAGAAGAGGATCAATGGTTGAGAGGGGTGCAAATGGGGGCAGAAGCATGTCCATAGTTGACTTGGAGAAGCTTCCATGTTATGATTATGTTGCCAAAGGCAACACAAGCAGCCCGGTGGATTGTGCAGTTTGCTTGGAGAGCCTCATCACTGGAGATAAGTGCAGACTGTTACCTATGTGCAAGCACAGTTTTCATGCTCAATGCGTGGACACATGGCTTCTCAAGACACCCTTATGTCCAATTTGCAGGTCTAATGCTCATTCTCATAGTGGAAACCAAGTTATAGGTAACAATGACTACTTTGTTGCAGCAAATAGTGTGTCTAGGGAGAGCCAAACTGCTACAAGAAGTCAGCAAAATGACAGTATGGTGGTATTGGTACAGTTGAGAGAAAGCCTAGAAAATGGTCCATCAACAAATGTTGTCATGGAAAATCCAACATTAGGAAGTCGTAACTTGATCAGAGAGGAGTAGAATCAAGAGAACACCAAATACAGAGATATGATTTGCTTCATGCTGAAGACTGTGCAGCTTTGTGAGAGGTAGCTCAAAATGAATATTGTTGAGGTGTTTGAATGTTGAATTATCACAGTTATTATGATTTTTGCTCCGTTTGGTTGTGGTCTAAATTATTTTCCTGCTCTCTTTTTTAATCTTTCGAGCACAAACACTTCTTTAATTATCTGATAGATTATTGAAAAGTTAACTGAAGTGATTACTGGAAATAATTTTGGTTCCTAATCATTAAATGTTACTGCTATTCATAGACATTTTATTTTAGTAACTTATTTAACAATTAAAATAGCCAATAATTGCCATGATTGAATGGTAATTTAATCATGATTGAAGAATAATGCAACAATGATAATATTATTTGGGACGAACATTTTTTTGAGAGACTGTAATAAACTTTAAGACTAATACTTTCAATTAAACGATCTTATCTATGACCTCAAACTTTCTAAATGGTTTCAAAGTACTCGCTGGAGCAAACAGAAAATATAAGTTTACTAGTGTTTTTGACTACATACTTCCCTAATAAAAGACACTTTTGTCTCAAATTATATCTCACTATAAAAGCTATAAATAGTTTCAAAATATGTTTCATTTTTAATATAGAAAACATTAATTATTATTTTTTTCAATAATAACCTTATTTATTAACATTTCACCAGAACACTACCTAATATACAACAGCACTTCAATTTTCTAGTAATGACAATTTAGCAGATAATGTAATATGCATTTCGTTTGTCTTTTTTATATTGCAAGATAAATCAAACTTAAATAACTTTCTCCAATGCATTGAAAGCACAATGGTAAAATGGAGACAAAAAAGCTATGAAAGTAACTCTGAATGTGTATATTAAAACGCTATGAAACTAACACATGAAAACATGAATGTGCAAACTATAAAATAAGCACGATTGACACACGATTCAGGACCTTCTCCCTTCATCCCCATTCTTCCCTCTCCCCTCCAAGATGAACAACTTGTGAGTAGAAACAAAGGGGTCTTAAAAAACCATCTACTGTTCTTTCTTGACAGCCTGGGAAGATTGCTGAGTATCCCCTATGGGCTGATTGATGCTAGCTTTGGCCTCAGCAAGAAATTTAGGATCAGGCTCGTGTTTATCTGCAGGTTCTCTCATTGCCAAATATATGTAAAATGCTATGACTACATTGACAGAAATGACAGCAAGAAATCCACTCACTAGTGTCACAGAGTATGGGGACAAATTGGATGCTCCTGTTACAAACAAGGAAACACATTAAGGTTAAGGTGCAATTTCTATTGGGTCTAATTCATAACCCGTTGGAAAACACTAACAGAATTTAATTAGAATGAATGAAGTGATAGTGAGAAGGTTTTACATTGTCATACATGCATAGACTGATATGTATTGTAAGATTATTGAGTATTATAATAATTAACTTCAAAGTCATACATCTAAGTTGATTTCTAATTGGTTAATAAAACTCTAAATATCTTTATACTGACAATATATGAGAATTAAATTTAATAAAAAATGATAAGATTATTGAGGATAGGGATGGAGCATACCATTAATAACTAAGGAGAAATCAACATTTGAAGAGCCTCAGTATAGTAAGACAAGTGAATTCTGATTAAACTAGTAAAAGATTTGCTTAAAGAATTAAGCTGTTCCAGTTAGCATTTTGAAGCATTGACTTTTATCACAAAACTAAACAACCAATTTCAAATACGCTTAATAACCATAAATTTTTCAGTATCTCAATGCTTGAGGTCAGGCAATCAGGCAATTGTGGCATGTCCAAATCAAAAGTAATTTCCCTTAGACATATATTGAACCCTATTAATTTTTGTGCTAATAAAAATTCAAACAACAACACTTTCTGGTTGGAATGGGGGGTGCATAACTTGGTTAACTTAATTCCACAGGTAAAGATGCAGGCAAATGGATTGGTATTTGTTGTATGGTTCTCTCTTCAGTTTATATATAAGTAGGAAAGAGAAAGGAAAAACAAAAATAAAGAGCATCCCCGTTTAAAACCCATTTCAAAATTGCTGATAATGCTAAAAGCTATGACCAATGTGCATAGTAACCTACAGGTTTCACAGTTTACTTTTCAGACCATAAATAAGGATTTGAATTAAATACGTATATGCATCATATGATTATATTGCAAAAGTTAGTAATATAACCTCCATCAGAAGCAGCAAATTACCTTCCTATACAGCAGCTTGTAAGTATACTACATCAAATGGGCAAAACTAACCATTTACTTAGAGAGGGGTGATATATGTACACCCCATACATTCAATCAACAACCAAAAAAAATAATATAATAATAAATAATATTATATTAAGATGTGCAGTTAAAATGCAGTTGTAGAATGGATGTTTCTTGAAACCTGGGTGTCAAAATAAAATTTCTCCTACTTTAGAGGCTGGGTATATATGTATACAAAAACTTTCTAGATGATTTGGAAAAGACAAATTCAATGTCAGGCATTGCCCTAAAAACAATAACATTCCTCCAAAAGCATCAGTGGTCAAGACCATGGGCATTTTTTATTCTCTTTCCTTTTTTTTTTTTCAAAAAACTGCATTTTAAGATCATTATACACAGCTCACTATTCAGCAATAAATTTCTCAGCCAAAATCTACTTAGTATTAACACGTAATTCCAAACAAGTGTTTTAAAGCAAAGAAAACACAGAAACAGAAACAAGCTTGGATATGCTTTTTCATGATCCTCTGTTTTCTTTAAATGCTCTATTCAAGTAGTCATTCGATAAACTTTTAGAAAACAGAACCATGCTAAGACAAACAGTTCCTAATGAAATCAGACACACATATTTTAGAAAATAAAAAACTATTTTAAAAAATAGTAACCAAATAAGGCCCAATATTCTAATTAACAGTTTTTGACAAAAGAGTTTAATTTCTATGCATGAGCCAATATTTTTTTTTTCCATTATCAACAAAAAATCATGGTAGAAACCAATTTTGTGATAATTATTGTTAAAGTCAACAAAATGTTTGGACAATTTGTGATTGGATGACGATGAGCATTGGGAGTGGATACACTATTCACTCATAACAAAAGAAAAACTAAAATACCATCTCATCAACAAGAAAGCAGTTTTTTTAATAAAAATCAGCTTGAAATAATAAGAAACTCTTACACTTCCCCTTTGAAAGGAATTCAACTAACTCAACCAGTCAAGTTAATAGATAGAAGATATAAAACACATTATAGTACTAACCAACACCCACTTCAAAACAACAAAAACAACAACAACAACAACAACCCATAAACGCTTAAGTACATTAGAACCTTACCAGGAAACATGTTGTGATTAAAAGCATATAATATTGCAATGGGGATTGCCCACATGAACAATGATGCAACTAAAAACTTCTGAATCACTCTCATTTTTGCCTCAAATTCCTGAAAACGAGAAAGGAACAAAAAAGTCAAAAAATTGCGTAAACTTGAATATTCCAACCAGATTCATCAATTGAGTGTGAAATAAATTCATGAAGATCCAAACTTTGAATTAGGTATATAGGCATACCACACTCCTTGTCCAAATCGTGTTCTCTCGGATGTGAGAGACTTGTTGCTACCACCCCAACATGGAGTTCATGGACAAATGAATATGCAATTGTGCGGTGAAACTTGCGATTCGAAACACACACAGCGATTGAACTGAAACTAAGAAAGGGGTTTAGGGATTGGGGAAAGAGAAGAATTACCAAAACGCACCGTCCTGGACTGCAGGTTCCTTGCTGGGCCGGCCCAAAAACCCCTAACCAGGTTCTGTGATTTATTTTATATTGTACCCAAAATGTTAGGGTTGTGATGAATTTATCTTTGTTTATTATGCGTTTCAATTTTGATTGGATAACTTTTGTAAACCTAATTTTGATATGATGAAAACTCGAACCATATGAGATGAGACCAGATCAATTGAATGGTTTAACCTAATATTTTAATATTAACAATAGAAAACTTAAATTAAGATATGTTTTATACTTTATTATAATTATTAATTATAAATTATGAATATGATATTATGTTATACAAAATATTATTTATTAAATAAAAAATATTATTAATACATAATTTGTTAAGAAAAATTGTAATTTTTATCATTATATCTATAATATAATTTAATAAAGAAAATTCACATTTTTAACTTTGTTTTTCCAATGTACTCTATAAAAATATGACAATTGTTGAAAAAATAAAACAATTATTTTATTAAGATAAAAGCTGATAAGATAATTATTATTTTTTATGTTAATTATTTTTTTATTACTATAAAATACTGTTCACATGTATTCAATATAAATTATATTGGGTTGAACCAAAATACAATCTGATTTTTTTTTCTTTTAAATACATTGGGTGTAATTTTAAAGAAAAATAGGAAATAAAAATTTTAATCCACGACAAAAAAAAAAGACAATTGAAATCCATGATATAATTATTCATTTATATTTTAACTTTTATATGATTTTGTTATTAATCTAATATTTGATTTGTATCTTATTATTAAATTCATTTAGAAGATATTATCTAAAAAATTAACCTGTAAAATATCTTATGTACAAATAATAAAAAATTATATGTAAATTAAAATACATGTAATAAATTAGTAAATAATTTTTTTCTATTTAACAAAACATGAATAATAAATTAAATTTCATTAAAAAATAATCTATTTTTTATATTAAAAAATAATGCCCAATGATAGTGAAGTTTATTATTAAAATATTATTTGGATGTTTACTATTAAAATATTATTAAGATTCATTATTAAGCAATTTGTCTTGATTTTGTTCTTAAAAGCCATATCAAATTTTATATAAGTGGATAGGGGAGAAAAAATTATTTATATACTACTTTAATCTTGATCATTAAATCATGTGAGATTTAGGAATATATATTAAAATAAGATATAATAATTTTATTTTAACTTTTTTTCTCAAAACTTCATTTCCCATGAAGTAAAAAAAAATGTGATACTTGAACATTAAAAGCTTGCTTTATGACATAAAACTTTTGATACTGGAACAGATACCAAGAACAATAATAGACATGTTAGATATAATTTTAGTTAATGTAAATTTGCATTTCATTATAGACATTTAACTAACCATACAATGCACTAACAACTTCACCATCAGTGTTCAGTTTAAGGTTTACATGCTAATTAATTAGAAGACTTAACAAAACAAAAAAGAACAAGAAAGTAATATGATAATGGGAGCTTATAAACACAGGTATCATTGCATGTCAGCTTCTCTGATGCCTGATTTGGTGCTTCAAAATCAGCTCCATCAACAGGGTCAGAGCCAGAGAAAACACCATCTGTTCTTATGGCTTGAAGCTAGAGTTTAAAATTATCAAATAATTTAAGAACAAGACATTTGTAACCAAGAAAAGCATGTGTAGATACTAAAAGAATAACACTCTCTTACACATTAAGAACGAACAAATTTAATATCATGTCAGCTTGATCATTTATTTTTTACAGAAAAATAATAATGGCAAAGCAATGAAACGAACTCATTCTATTTTCAGTAATTCCATTATCTAGCACATACAAGTGCTGCACATGCTATTGAGGTATACATAGAGATTCTATGCAGCAAAGAGCAGTATATGAATAGCCTGCATGCATAGCTCTGACAAGTAATTTAATAGTTTTATACAAAAAATTTTAACAAATCAATGCTTGAAGATGAAGTGAAAGACAATGACTATACCTGGAAGAGGCTCTTTGACACTCCGAAAATGGTAAGCTGTATCAGGAACTTTGGTTTACTGCACGCCATTTACAGCATAGCCAACTCATTCAGTGAGCAAAATTCCAGTAGGTGCAAGTTCAGGATGCATGATGTCTATATCTAAAGCTTCATTCGACTGAATAGTAGTAGCAGAAGAAATCTTACCCCCCTGTGCAGGACACCATCAACAATAGCAACATGGCATTTTACCCCATTTCTATGATAGTATGAATAAAGTAAAACCATGCATAGAGGAGAATCACTTTCCATGAGGGGATAGTACGTGCTCTATGACTGTCTGAAGCACTTGCTCAAGACCCTCTACAGTTTTAATAGATGTTAGCAATGGATCACTAGGGTCAAGATAAAGCCCAAACAGGATCAGCAGTTGGCTGGTAATCTTGTTTATAACAAGTACAATTGTTAGGTTAGCCTCAGGCTGTCAGGTATGGTAAAAGTTAGCAACAGTTTGAGGTTGGACTCTCTGAGCAGCGTCAACAACCAAAAGCACAACCAGACAAGCTGCCACTGACCTTAACACTTCACAACTAAAAATTCAGGGAAAATTTTGGTGACTCCTTTCCATCAATACAATCATCACCATGTGTGCTTATAGACACTGTCTGTCTGGGCTTTAACTGTGATTTCCCTTTCCATCTCCACCAAGACATTTTAACTTCATCAACTAAGCTGTGAAATGCATGATATTGATGAACAAATTGGAAGACTTTTATTTTAATCAACATATTAAATCATTAAATTGTAATTCAAAGAAATACACATGTTAGGAAAAATCCACCAAAATCAGGCGGCAATAGTTGTTATATTTGAAACTAAATGATGCTACATTATAACCCCGGAGGTAGAAATACCAGTAGTGTTTTCTTTAGGCGGTGGTAAGACACTTTGCAATTTTTTAATCATCTGGTCAAGCTCCTTCAACTTGTCCATGTCACCTGCTTGCAACAAAAACCTCTCCAGCATCAGAAATGATGCACTACTCATATGTCTTCCTCTCTCCAACATTTGTTTGGAGCACTCAAAAGCATCATGCACCAAACCCCTTGCACACAATCCAGTGACCAGAAGATCTAAAGCATGAGTATGGGGACAGTACCCTTTCTCCACCAGGTACTTCCATAGACCTACACTTAAATCAAGCCGATAATTTTGACAGAAATACTTCATCAGCATCACAACTGTCCTTGTTTTGGGAACAAAACCTCTCTGAGTCATCTTCTGGTAAAGCTCACTTACACCTTCAATTCCTCTTGACCTCATCAATCCTAAGAACATTGCATGGTAAGTCACACTATCAAGCTCAATGTGTTTCTCAACCATCTCATCCATCAAGGAAAAAGCAGATTCAATATCTCTATTTCTAACCAAAGCAGTAACCAAAGCATTATAAGCCCCGGTATCAGCAACCAAGTTTCTCGAAGGAATCTCATTAAACAACTGCCATGCCTTGCTTATATTTCGAACCAACCCTGCTCCATGAATCAAAGTAGTAATAGTTTCAATGGTAGGGACAACATTAACCCCCTCCATCTCCTCGAGAAGTCTCAGAGCATCACCAAAACAACCTTTCTTACAGTAAGCATTAATTCTAACATTAAATGTCACTCCATCAGGACTAAAACCGCGCCTAACCATTTCATGATAGAAAAGCTCAACAGAAGTAACATCACCTGATTCTTTGAACCCCAAGAGTAGAATATTCATGGACTTGGTATTAGGACTAAACTGTGGCACTAGCTTCGCGAACACGGACCTGGCTTCCTTCATTTGCCTCTGTGTGCAAAATGCTTTAAGAAGCACATTGAACTCGTCAGTGCCAAACTCCCTGCCAACAAACACCTCATCTTCCATCCTTCTAAACCCATCAAGGGTGTTCTCAAATGACTGGAATTTGGCGATTTTGGAGAGCACAATGCTCATTGACTTAAGGGTGAGCAAAGAAGGGTGGGTTCTTGCAATGTCCCGCAACAAGTCCCAAGTTTTGTCAAAATAACGCATCCGTGCAAGGATGTGGAGGGTCATGTTGAGTGAAGCAGGACTTAAGGGGGAATGGGAATGGATGAGGGAGTATTTGAAGAACTCCAAGGCCTTGAGGCCATTTGAATGTGAAGCAAACAAGCGGCCGAGAACGTTTTCCACAAGGGAAGTGGAGAAAGTGGAAGGAGGGAGGAGGTGGAGGAGTGTGGAGTGAAGGGGTTGCAATGGGAAAGGGTGGTCGTTGATGATTCTGGTGAGTGTGTCAACATCAACTGTGACTTGTGAACATGATTCAGGACTGTCAATAGGATTCTGAGAAAAAGTAGGTGACTCCTTCCCATCACTACAATCATCACCATTTATGCTATGCTTATAGAACATTCTTGTTGTCTTGGCTTTAACCATAATTCCCCTTTCTCTCTCCACCTAAGACAATTTTAATTTAACCAACTAAGCAACACAAGACAAACAAAAACCAAGAAATTTAACATAATATTTTTGGAGAAAAAGTAATCTCTGTTTCTACAAACAAGCAGATGCAGAAACTGATTTTAATTTAAAGGTAAAGTTTAATTCACCTTTATCATCCTTATTTTCTTCTCCAAAAGCTAATTTTAACAATTTGAATATTACACTAAAATTTTAAATTTCTTTTCATCTTTTCAACCAACCCAGTGTCTCATTATACATCATAGTCAACCAAACACTACACGATTTGAACAAGAAGCACTTTTGGACAACACCCATTTCGTCTAACATATCAAAAAATCATGCCCAGATGAGAAAAATGAAAAATTTCAGCAAGAGTACCTGCAACTTATCAAGATAGTGAGGTTGGCCATGGGCTTTCTTTTGGGTGGAGTTGCCATGATTAACATGTTGAGCGATTGAGAAGCTTCTAACGAGCTCTGGAGGGTACTGCCTCAAACCTATGGAGCTTTTCTCTCTGGTGCTATTTAGGCGTGAAAAGCGTTGATGGGTTAAAGGATTGAAATTGAAATTGCAGAAGAAGCGTATATAATTCGATAGCGTCAAGCGCTTGGAAGCCATTTCACAGTCATGGAGTTTCTGCACTGCGCCGAAGGAAATGTACCTCCGGGTTACATTTGGGTGGTTTCAACCCGGTTCAACGTGACAAATTCTTTGAAACAAAAAATATATAACTTTTTTAATATTTACGTATTAACAAATAATTCCTCTGAATTCAAGTATAGTTAAAAATAATTAATTTGATTAATGAAAAAATCAATTAACATAATTTAAATTAAAAATATTTTTTAAAATATATTTCCTTAAAAATAGCATCACTACTAAATAAAAAATGTGCTAAGAATAATATCTTTAAAACAAATGAAATTAGTAAGATATCTTTATATTTAAGTTTAATGACAAATTTTTATTTATAAATGAATCTAGATGTAATATAGTTTAATTGATTAAAATTTGATATAACATAATATAGTTTTATTGAATATTATAAAATAATAAAATAGTTTATGTATTTGATTATGTAAATTTTTACACTTTTAGCTTTTCGTAATTATCTTGCATAACAAATTTATTAGCTTTTATAATTACTGTATTAAAGTTATAATTTATGAGTCCTGATAAATTTTTTGTTCTGTTTTTGATTAATTAATAATACTTGAGTCTTATAAAATATTTATGACACTGTGTGCCTGTTTTGTATGACATTTAATTTCTTCCGCAAAAATTTACTGGGAATGGTAAATAAGAATATTTGCTGATAGTAACCTTCAGGGAGACACTGCTCCTAGAAGTGTAATTATTGAGATCCCTTTTATAACTAGAGTTATGGACATTGATTTTCAATTTTAAAGAATTTGTTAGTAGTGATTTATATCACAATTTTTTCTTTTATTTAGATTCTGTGATTACTTGAACCTTAACAATACATGTATTAATTTCATATGATGTTTAACAACAATGGCATTATGAATAACTTTGTGGCTAATTCAATGCCTTAGGAATGTTCCATGAAAGATGCATTGCTGGTTCTTTTTTGTAGACAAGACATCATGAACATGAACACTTAGGTAGTGGAAAACTAGAGCCATGCAGGATTCTTCAAAGCAGTGACAGAAGCTTTAACTTGAAGGTAGCTTCTAAGGCTGTAGATTCCCCTTACCCTCCCTTGACCACTCATTTTATACCCACCAAAAGGTATTGCTGCATCAAAGATATCATAGCAGTTGATCCATACTGTTCCAACTCGCAATGCCCGCATCAAGGTATTGGCAGTGTCTATATTCCGAGTATAAACTCCAGCAGCCAAGCCATAGGAAGTTGCATTGGCCCTTCTTATGACCTCCTCTAGATCCCTATGATTTATTTCATAACACAGAATATGAGGAATTTAAGATGAGGAACTAATGATGGCACTTTTATGTAGTGAGTTATAGCTTACTTGAATTTCAAGATAGATTGAACTGGGCCGAATATCTCATCTTTTGCTATCAACATGTTGTCCTATAATATGCAGAAAGAAAGTTATTTACTTCTACTTTGGAACTATGTTATCACTTGTTCAGAAATAGAGCCATTATTAATTGGAAGTATCATGCCTGAACATTTGAGAAAACAGTTGGTTGGATGTAGTAGCCTTTTGAGCCAACTCTTTGACCACCAGATTCTAGTGTAGCACCACTTTCAATGCCTGATCTTATGTATTTCAGGATCTTCTCGAATTGAGCAGAATCAATCTGAAACACAGACAATATCAATGCCATGGTTCCAACTACTTAGCATTTATCTGCCATAAGTTGAAGAAGATTTTGCAAAACCATAGGTTCTTCTACTTACTTAAACCAAAGTTATTGAAAAACGTAAGCGGTTATTCTTGTTTGGACCAAATTTTATCTTTGATTTAAGGTTCATCAGGAAAGGTTCATAGATACCTGAGGACCCTGGTCAACCCCACTTTTGAAAGGGTCTCCAACTACACGTTTAATAGCACGAGCTTTAGCCTTTTCCACAAATTCATCATATATGCTTTCATGAACAAATGTGCGAGAACCAGCACAACAACATTGCCCCTGTTCAAAAGCGAAACAAAACATCTTGAACCATATTGTTTTCACTAAATTTGAAGTAGATTGTGTTGTTAGCATTCCTCATAATGAACTTAGGATAATCAAACCTGATTAAAGAATAATGCAGCATGTGCAGCCTCAACAGCTGCATCAATTTCAGCATCTCTGCACACAATGAATGGAGATTTCCCACCCAGCTCCAGTGTTACCGGCTTCAGGTTACTGCGTGCAGAGAGTTCTAGTACACGTCTACCTGTGGCAGTGGATCCTGTGAAAGCAAGCTACAAAAACAAGATCAACCAATTTCTATTTTACAATTAGCTATTAGGCCATATAGGCATATAAGTTGATGCATATATGTATTGCAGAGAGAATCAACAGAACAATTATATATTTTTTTATAAATGTGTTTACAAGTCCTAAAGATCTGGTCAAAATTGGTTTTAGTTCCTACATTTTAAAAACAATGGTTTTGGTCCTCATGTTTCTCAAATGTGGTGAATTTTGTCCCTAATTGTATACTTTATTTTTATTTCACCAGAGACAATTTAGCACATTTCATAAATACAATGACCAAGACTATCATTTTTAAAATATAGGAACTAAAACCAATTTTAGGCAAATCTTAAGATACTTAAAACACATTCTACCCATATTTTTTAAGTTTTAGGAGAATTATTCCACTAAATCATCTTATGTACCTTGTCAACATCCATATGAGTACACAGAGCTGCCCCAGCAGTAGGACCAAAGCCACTGATAACATTCAGAACTCCAGGAGGAAGTCCTGCCTATTGCATCAAATCCATCAGTGAGAAAAATTACAAAAGTATAGGCACATGCAGGATCACAATCTTTTGTTGTTAGCAATTTTGGCATTGCATCAGTTGGTTCATTTCAAATTGAAGCTATTAATTTCCTAGAGGTGGTCCTTTTTCACATTACAGACTTGTTCACATTCTCTTTAATGGAAGAGGTGGTCCTTTTTCTCTGAACTTTATTTTGGCTAACATAAGGTTATTGATATAGTATTGGTAAATGATAAGAACTAACAAGTATTCTTGAAAATTTTTTTAGAATCTGATTAATAGTTGCACCTTAAAACCCAACTCATGAGATAAGACTTTTCAATGATATCTGTAGTAGATGTGTAATCTCAACAATCTCAAAGTGGTCAAGGTTTGGATTTAAGAGGGATTATTTGCTCTATAAAAGAATAATAAGTTGGTCAGAGAAGTGAAATCCAAGCTAGCAAGGACATAACGAGACATTTATAGTTGTATTATAAGACTACCTCATGAAATAGCTTTGACACAAAAAGGGCAGAAAGTGGTGTTTGTTCTGCAGTTTTCATTACAACTGCATTACCACAAGCTAATGCAGGTGCAACCTTCCATGAAAAAATAAGAAGTGGGAAATTCCAAGGAACAATCTGCCCTGCTACACCAATGGGTTCATGCAAAGTTTGGACATGGTGTGATCCATCAGCTGGAACTGTTAAACCATGAATTTTATCTGCCCAACCTGAAGAAAACAGAAAGAATGACAACTTGTTATACATTACTACAGCTGCATGGTGTAAGAACTCAAAGATAATGCAGATACCTGCATAATATCGGAACAAGCGTACCACCATAGGTATTTCAACATTTGCAGCCTGTTCATAAGTCTTCCCATTATCCCATGTTTCAATTGCTGCAACTTCATCATTGTGTTTCTCCAATATATCAGCACAACGCAAAATAATTCGTGATCTTTCCTAGAGGAGTTCATCAAACATAATGGACAAAATTGTTGTACATAAAAACATGTAGCATTATTCTTGTAGCCCAAAAGAAAATTGCAACATGAAAATAGTTCCATACTGAAATTTATGGAACAAATTAGTATTAAATAATGTTTTATTACATAAGCTGTCATCTTTGGCCATGGTCCCTCATCAAAAGCCTTGCGAGCAGCACGGACAGCTCGATCTACATCTTCAACGTCCGCTTCGGCCACATTGGCAATTGTATCTCCAGTCCTTGGATCAATGGTTGCAAAAGTTTTTCCTAACAAAGGAAAACTTGTTAGAGTAAGTCTTTGTAGCATAATTGTAATGTTTTCTTGTCAATGAAACAACAATGCTTTAAGTACATATGGTGAGATATTAACCAGAAACTGCATCAACAAACTGGCCATCAATCAGAAGCTGATTATGATCAATTTGCACTGGTGGTTTACTAGGCTCTACATCAGTAGCAGCAGAAGCACCAATTCCACTTAACTTTCGATTCCAGAGACAACATAGGCCTGAAAATTTAGTCAATAGTCATTCAATTATTCAGACAACCAAATTTTATAATGTTATGATGCGATCACAGTTTTTGTGACACTCCTTTTTTTCTTAAAATCTGGGTTAGCATCTAAAGTAATCTCATTAGTACTTTCCATACATTATTTTGACCATATCACTAATAGACTTGAGATCGTCAACACACTCATTAGGACATAGTAATAGTATTTAATATGTAGATAACTTGACATGTTCAACAACAAATATACCCCGTACATGTTGATGAATAAGTATTTACGAGTGTTCCAATAACTGCATGTCTGATATACCATAAGTTCTGAATCTGAGTGCAATCATAACTATAACTAGTAGCTGTAGCTATATCATCAGTTGAAATCTCCAAACATTGATAATAGCAGTCATGTATGTATGATCTAATGATTAGTATAAAACCAAAAGGAAAATAAAGTTCAAAATCAAAAACTTGCTTTCATGTTTTAAATTGTTTTCTCCAATGCAGTTTATAACCACTATATTCCCCCCTTTCTAGAACACAACAAGGAGATTTTCATGATTTCAGTTTTTTTACTCAAAAGATGCACATTATGAAAAGGAGGGATAGTATATACCTAAGCAACGTTTAGTGGTTGAGACAAAAGAAGAAGAAGACACATTATGCAGAGTGAAAAGAAGTCCAGAGGCCATGACCTGCATGGCATGAAGATTTGGATGTTGAAGGTTTTTTCCCTTTCTTTGTGATCCTGCACACTGATTTCTTGAACTATACAAATCACCACCCTTCTTTCAAGAGCTTAATAAAGTGTATGTACCTACCAGTAAAAATCTTCCAACAAATAGTTATTAACACTTTACACTAGTCAGCTATCATTGATGTAAATGAGTGCGTCATGCCAAAATTGCCTTGTGAATCAAATTTACTTTTTGTTATGAGTGCGTCAAGGAACAAGTTGAAAGAGTCACATTCTAAATAAAAATGTAATAACGATGGCCGCCATAATAGTGAGCATCAAATTCAACTTGTGAGATGTAGGAAAATGATAATCACCACCCCATGTGAGGTTTCAAAAAAGAAAGAGATATCAAGAAACAACAATAAAAAATCTGATAAATATTGTAATATGCATGTAATGTAATGCTACGACAAATAAAATAAATGAGAAAGTGATGTCTAATCAATAGGGTTGGTGGAGAAATTATAACATAGATTCCTATCATTACGTCACTCATTTCAATCAATATTTTTTATACGTGGATAATTTATAATATTTATTTATGATTTGTAGTTTATTTTTAGTATTTAAAACTCTTAAATATGATTTTGTTTTTCAAAATTTAAGTTTTTTTAATTAATATTGTTATGTATATATTAATGAGTTAGTTAATTACTTTAGTTTGTATTAAGAAAATATTGGTGTGGACCACATTCAACACTCAATTTGTATAAGGACTATTATTTGCTATTAAAAGTTATGAGTACACACTCAATAACTTTCTTTCAATCATTCTAAAGGAAAACATGGGTATTCTGTCATTGGAAATTTACCATTAGATCCTCGAGAACATTAAAAAATATCCATATATTAAACAAATCGATTATTTATTTGTTTGATTTTTTATTAAATATATTTTTGTTTGGTATAGAAAAAAATTAGATGGAGTGAAATTAGGTAAGAAAAAAATTAAAAAAGAGGAAAATACTATTTGTTTGATTTGAGAGAAATGAAGATAAAATTAAAAATTATTCAATTTAATATATTTTTTTGCAAACACCTTTTTGTTAAAAAATTATCGATTTGAATCTTTAGTATACTTCCAAAATTACTTTATAAAACGGTGAAATTTTAATACTTTCGGAAAGATTTTGTTTAGATGAATTTAAATTTCGTTCTAAAAAATTGAAACAAATTAGCGCTTCCCAAAAAGTAATGCGTTGAAATTTTAATTTATTATGATAAACACTTAAAAAGAAGTGTTAGAAAAATGACATATAGAGGGGTGAATAGATGTACAAATTAAAATAGATGTTAAATTAACAATTTATTTGTGAGGCAATAATTTGTTTGAACACAGATAAAACGGAAGCGATAATATAATCAGAAAAAGAGGAAGAGATAAGGGAAAGAGAAGAGCACACAGTGATTTATACTGGTTCGGGTATAGTCAACCATATATCCACTTCCTAGTCAACTCTTAACACAAGAGTGACTCTCAATTCACTATCTTTCAAATTCAGTTTACAAATTACAATCAACTCAGCAGAAGAACCAATAAAAAGTAAACTAATTAAAAAGGCAATCACCTCCCTAGAAACCCACTAAGGATGAACACCTTCCTAGAATCTCACTATGGATGAACACCTCCTCTGAACAAATCAAAGGATGAAAAACGCCTCCTTAGAATCCCACTAAGGATGAACACCTCCCTAGAATCACAATAAGGATGAAAAACATCTCCTTTTTCACCAATACAAAAAGGATGAAGGTAATAAAAATAAGAACAAACACATCTGGGTAATGGAGACAACAAATTGTAGAAGCTTGTAGAATGTCAATCTCTAAGAACAAGTGTGATTAACAATGAAAGCACAAAAGGCAGTAGAGAAGAAAGTTTTCTCAAAAGGTGTAAAATATCTCTGTTGCCTTGCTCAGAATTCTTTTCTCAAAACTGATTGAATGTAAATTGTATTTTCGAATTCTGTAATGATGTGTTTTTTATTTTTCATCAAAGCCTAATTAAATAGAAAAATAGCATCAGAAAATGGTCGTTGAACATTAGTATTTTTGTGAATAAAAATCGGGATATATTAAAAAATATTTATTATTCAAAACAAATATATTTTTCAAATTTGAATTGTCATAATTGATTATGTTACCAGTATAATCAATTATGACAGAGAAAATCATTTTTTCATTTCTGATGCATCATAATTGATTATGACAGTGAAAAATATCACGTTATGAATTTTATCACACTTGTGCTTTGGAGGCTTATGCATAATATTACTTCATCAACTTGTACTTTTATATCCAGTATTTTAAGACTCTATATAGTCTTCAGGAATCATCTTGGGCTTGCTTGAATCATCATCTTTATCAAAAACATATCTTGGGCATGTAGGGAAATGTTTCACATTTTCACCAACGTCATAAATTCAGCTTGTCCTTAATTCATCTTGAATGGTGTTGACTTGAATGTAGTTGACTTGAATCATCATCAAAATCATCTCTTGGGAATGTAAGGACATTTCTATCAATCTCCCCCTCATTGCTTTCAATCTCCCCCTTTTTTATGATGATCAAGGAAACACCTGAAATGAATTAAAATATTTGACTCTATATAGCCAGCTCAAGATTAGCACAGTATAGTATAACACAGATTAGCACAGATTTGTATCAAGTGTCACAGTCTCTTAATTTCCCTCTGGATATATTAATAACAAGACTCCCCCTAATTCATATGAGCAAAGACTTCTCTTAACTCCCCTTGTTTAGTTTAGAGATAGGAATGAATTTCACAAAGATTTTAATTCATCAAAAAATCTCTCACTGTTTCATTGATAATCATAAAAAATTTTATAAGAAAAAAAAACCTCCCCTTGTTTCACACAGATTAATATCATCAAAATATCTCCCTGTTTCATTGATAATTATGACAAATATTGCAATAAAAATTGAGAACAAATTTGCACATATTAGTACATAAATCAAGGTAGAAAAGATAATGCATTACAAAGTGTCATAGAGAAGAACATCATATTAAGGAGGCAATATCTAGGATACCCAAGACAAATGAAGAGAGAAAAAGATAGAAGAATAAAATGATTATATAGATAATGGAATGAAATGCAGTAGTTTCTCCCAATTGCAGTCTTCTTATTTAGGCAGACTTTCAAATTCAAATGCACTCATATTCCAGATTTCAAATTTCAAATTCAAATTGTAACAAATTTCAAATTCAAATTGTAACAAATTTCAAATTTAAATTTCAAATTTCAAATTCAAATTTATAATCCCAAATTTCAAATTCAAATTTCAAATTCCAAATCAAATTCAATTTCAAAAATCTCAAACTGCAAAAATTTCAAATTTCAAAATCTCAAACTACAAAATTTTAACTTTCAAAAATCTCAAATTGCAAAATTTCAAATTTCAAAAATCTCATACTACAAAATTTTTAAAAAAATCTCAAACTGCAAAATTTCAAATTTCAAGAATGTCAAACTGCAAAATTTCAAACTTTAATAATTTCAAATTTTCATAAATTCAAACTTTCAAAATTCAAACTTTCAACATAATTGATTATGACAACAAGAAAAAATTTCTGATTCCGATAATCAATTAGATGCTCAAACTATCATCTAGACATGTATAAATGTTTTGTTCCTTTAGGCACCCATTCATATTTGTCATTAGATATGCCAAAATATTTTATGTAACATCTATTTGATGTATGACCTAATTTCATGCAATAAAAACATGTTGGTTTTCTTTGAAAATGTCTAAATGAGTTTCTTAAAGTTTTTGAAACTGGTTTCACATCTGTTTTCCTTGACTCTTTCACAAAAATATTTTTATGAGGTTCTAAACTTTCTTTGGGTTTGTAACCAAGTCCAGCTTTGCTAGAATTCCCTCTTTGATAACCTAATATAAAATCAAGATTTTCAGAAGATTTTGAAAACTTGCTTATTATTTTCTCTAACTTGAAAATCTCATTTTCCAAAAGATTATAATTTTCACAAGGTTTAGCAACTTCTTTATTTTTAGACAAAGTTTTAAATTTCTCAACATCTTTCTTTAAGCACTCATTTTCTTTTTCAAGAATATCAACATTATTTTCTAATGCATTAAACTTTTGCCTAAGTGCATTGTATTTCTTAGATAACATGGTAAAACTTTCATACATATCTTGGTATTCTTTAAATAACTCATCATATTCATTTAAGGAATTTGTACTACTTACCTGTGATGAGGTTTCATCATCACTTTTTGTCATCAAGCAAATATTTGTTTTTTCTTCTCCATCACTGCTTTCGGAAGAACTCTCTTGTATTGTGGAAGAATCATTATCCTCCCAAGCAATATAAGCTTTGTGTTTGCTCTTATAGGTATCGTTCTTTTCTTTCTTCTTTTCTTTCACATCTTTCTTCTCTTTCTTAAGTTTCGGACAGTCTGATTTGATATGACTAGGTTTTCCACATTCATAGCAATGAAATTTATTTGTTTTCTCCTTTCTTTGCTGTCTCTTTTTCCTGTTCTTCATAAAGCGAGAAATTTGTTTAACAAAAAAAGACATCAGAATCTGAAAACTTACCTTCATTTTCGCTTTCATCTTGTGAAGATTTTTCTGCTTTTAAAGCTATCATCTTGGTTTGATTGTGTTCACCGTTCTTTAACCTTTGTAGCTTCATCCATGTTCTTGCAACTTTCCAAATAGAGTAGCAATATTCATTTCTGTGAGATCCTTTGATTCTGTAATAGCAGTGACCTTTGGTTGTCAATTCCTGTCTAAGGATTTCAAGATCTTTGTGTTCAACTCCTCATTGTCAAAATTCTTTCCTAATGCTTTCAAGTGATTTATTATATGTGTGAAGCATGTCTGGAAATTTGTGATGCTTTCATTTTGCTACATTTGAAATAATTCATACTCCTGGATGAGTGTGTTCTTACGTGATCGTTTTACTTCATTTGTTCCTT